ATTTTGGGTGGTAATTGAAGAGGACATTGTGGGCTTTCCAATGGTATCAAAATTAGATAGTTTTGATGGTCGAAAGTTGCCGAAAAATTGCCTTAAAAGTCGCCCAAAAAATCTGAAAATCTGGGCAAATTTTCAGATTTTTTGGGCGACATTTAAGGCAATTTTTCGATCGAATCCCTTGGAGTTATAATGAGATTTTGGGTGGTAATTGAAGAGGACATCCTGGGCTTTCCAACGGTATCAAAATTCGACATTCTTTGTGGTCGGAAGTTGTCGAAAATTTGCCATAAAAGTAGCCCAATTATTTGAAGAGACGAGTGGTGAATGAGTAATTATATGAAAAGATGAGTGAGCATTCAGGAATATGTGAAAGATGAGTGAGCAAGTAGTAATCAAGTGTAAAGTTCAGTGATTATTGGTTAAATTTACTCTAGCTTTATCCCATAGTAATAGAATTTGTATCGAATTAATTAGTTCGATCGAAAAAATTGTGAATCGGCCGCTAAAAGGTACATTTTGTTTTGAAGGACCGAATTACTAATGAATCGATCAGAACTATCAATAACCGGCCAAGATACAGTTGAACAAGACAAAACCAAGTCGATCTATTAAAATAAAATCTGAACTGATTTTGTATATTTAGCCATGGTTTAACTAAAAAAATTGATAAAAATTTAATTCAAAGTTAATAATTAATTTTGCACTGCTTACAAAATTGAGTGGTAGGTAATTAGGCATCAACGAGGCGGAGGTGTGAAGCGCAAACCGACTTCTCCCTCTCCAACGAGGAATTAGATTCTTTCTTAATAGCCATAGTTGACCATGAATCAATCTTATATCTCTCTATTTTTTTGATTTCTCGTACACTACGATTACAAAAATATCATGTTATTCCGAAAATTGGTTATCGATTGCACTTGATTTATAGTAAGCAGTTTTATGCAATAACCAGGTATTCTCCGATGTTGATTTCTAGTTCTATCTAATAGTGGTTGGGTAGGTCAATGCTTCAAAGGATAGCCTACTGAGTAGCTGTTGAAAGATTTTCCTTGTGTACTCTAAAGAGACTTTCTTGCATTCTCTAAAAATGCTATAAAGACATATTTCCCCAGCAAAGTTCCAGCTACGATTGTTATTTCACTCATAAATACTGGCTTGATTTGCACAAGAACAGGTTGAGACTTGAGAGCGAGTATATAAATAGGTTGTTTTCAATGAATCCATTGCTTGAGAATCAGCTGTTCACATTCCTCAATACTTGAGAGGAATACATGACATTACTTGCAATTATAGGTAGATAGTTTCCAATTTATCCTTTACAGGGAATGAAAATTTCTTACTAAATAGCTGATGTAGATTGAAGCTTGACATTATGGAAACATTGCAAAAAGAAGTAATCCAACCCATCTAACCCTAATGTTCTGACAGCAGATTGAAGAATCCACCTCGATCGGAGATGGAAACATCAATTTATGAAAGGTTTAGGCATCTCTGAAACGAAAGATAAAGCTTAACAATTTAAGTATGCTAATATGCCATATCTTAATAAGAAGGAATATTATACTAAAGAGAATCTCCTTTTCTCTATGCCTTTTGTCCAATGATGGTAATCAAATCAATTATTGTTATAGATAGAGCCAATTTGCAATAATCCAGTGATAGAACTTATACCACTTGTTATGAATATTTTATACATTGAGCCAAGTGATCGAATTTATATAACTTGTTATGAATATTAAAGATAACAAATATGGGCAAGATGAAAATAATGAATTACACAAGAACACAATATTTACATGGAAATTCAAATTTTGGAAAAAAATAACGAGCAGAAGCGAAAAATTCATTATGAGCAATAGCAAAGAAGCACAAAAGGATATCGCAAAACTCTCAACCTATTTCAGAATATGCAAGTCATTTTCTCTACAACCTAGATCATCTCACTTTGATGTTCTTTCAATGCTATACAATGTTTTGCTATGATATCTCAAGGTTATGTGGAGCATATATAAGAAATCATTACAAGTGTTTTGGATGAAGTAGAATACAAAAACGCGATAGACATTGGATTCAATTCAATCAGGTGGCGCTTGAGCGCCATTGGCCAACGCCTAGGTGCCAACTCCCTACCTCTCTTCACATTTTGGGCGCCTAGTAGTCAGGTTGAGTGGGAAAGGAAATATTTTACCACAATGGATCGGGTTGGAGCCAATCTAAAAATTTGTCCATCTTTACAACTTTTTCTTAATTTAGATTATGATTGGATAAGTTTAAATTATTTTTGCTAGTATTATTGGAGAATATTTGTGAGTTGATTATATAATTTTACACTTATTGATTTTTGGCAAGCTATTTAATGTTTTGATCATTATTATGTGTTGCTTGATTTTATTGTAGATAATATCACTCTGGAAGAGCAAGAACTTAGTTTGGAGTTATTTGATAAGTGTGTTTTATTATTTAATGCCTAAATATGTTGATTATTGATGAAAGAAATGGATATTGACTCACGATAATGTAATTATTACTTTTATAGGTTGAGAATTGCCCAAGGAAGTAGATCAAAGCAAAAGGAAGTGAAAGCGTACAAAATTGTGAAGTTAGGGACAAAATTCCACAATAGCCAAAAGATGAAAGACCTTGGATGCAATTTATAAAGGGCGTAATCGAAATGAAAGTCAAAATTTAAGGACTAAAATGTGCAAGATAAAAGTTGAGATACATTATATGCAAATAGTAGGGAACTGAATTGTAAGAAAAAAAATGGCGTCAGGTGTGAGCTCACACTCGCTTCAAATAGGGGTAGAGCCGCCTAGCTTGAAATGGA